TTATACTTTTCAAAGACAGCGTTACCACCAGAGAGTACATGACTGGTCACATAGTTGAGCATGTGCACTTATCCCAAAATACCATTACACTTTTCCAAGCTATAGGTGCCCATGTCCATGAATCTTTCACATCTGCTTTCTCTGTTCTGTCTTTCCTCCTCTGAATTCCCCCTGGGCTTGACAACTATTTATGGTTATTTACCTATCTAATCAACATCTTCCCCTTCTGGTCAATTAGCAGACTTAAAACAGAGATTAATGACCCATTCTGTTGTGGAATGTGAGTCTAACAGTTTATTGCATGTCAAAGTGAGGACCACTCTGTTGTGGAATGCAAGTCTGCATGTCAAAGTGAGGACTGTAGGTCTAACAATTTATGACCTCAGCTTAATTTCAGTTTTTATTAATTAGCTCCACTTTTGCTGATATCATATATCTCCCCCTTTTTTCACTTTTTTTTTTTTGCTGTTTTTACCTGTAATACCTGCTGTATTAATAAATATGATTTGGGAAAGAGTCCAACTTTAAACAATGATTCATGAAAAGAATGGTTCACATGTACTTCCTCGCACATTGCAATAATTGACAAGGTGTGTATGTGCCACATATTCATATAGGCTAGGCTCAAGCCCACTGTGTTGTGGACCTTTGTTATTCCTAGTATGTTGCTCCTGTCACTCTTACTCTGTAGTGACCACATATTGGGTCATGTGGAAGAGGATTCCCAAAGTGAATTAAGAAGCACTAAGCCTTAATCAGATGGTGAATATCTGTGAGCATATCCTGAAACACATAGAGAATCCTCTGTCATACTGTCTACGTGTGTGGATGGTAGGAAAATGTTTCTGCTGTGGATGGATAGACTGCGCAGCACCGTGAGTCCCTCGGTCCCACATAGAGGGGATAGTATGCTGCTGTAATGTTAATAGTATATACAAACCTGGAACAGGTAATATTAATGCAGCTGTAGTAATGTGTACATTTTGAAATGCAAGTGATTTTCATGATATTCTCATATCACACCCCTTTTAAAGTTACACAATAAAAGCTTTTCAGCTTTTTTTTTTTTTTTTGCTCAGGTTTCTGTAAATACAGAACTAGGATATATTTCAGATGAAACACTAACAGCTTATATACATGCCTAAATAAAAAGTGGCATATAGAATTCAATGTAGCCAAACCCAAGAATTTTGAAACGCAATATAGGGCATTCTGTGGATGCCAATTCCAGGAGTCTTAATGGGTTCAGTATAAGACTGAACTCACTGAATTTAAACTATAATCCTGTTCATACTTTCCTGAAAATAATTTTCACTGTACTCAATGGAGCTTTTGAATAGGATGTTTATAAATTCTTGGATCCTACTCTTGCCGTTCATCCTCCTCTTGCATTATGCATAAATTCAACAAATGAAACTTCCTGACAAGAAGCAAAAGTGAAAGTCTTAAGTGTTGCATACCAGTTTTCTGCTTAAGGCTGTAATACTAAAGGAGGGGACTAAGAAATGTTTTGGAGAAGGCAGAAAAGAGAATAAAGAGGAAAATCAAATGGAAGAGAAAATGGTAAAACATCTTTGCTCTCTTTTTCTTTCTGCTGCACTAAAGAGTAGGAAATGCCTTCTTTCCTAGCTAGAGAACAACCAAGAAGAACAAACCAAGAACAAACCAAGAGTTGACAACCAAGCTATACTGTCCTGTCCTGTCTCCAGGCTTTAGGAGACTGAGAATGAGTGCAGGGAACTGCTTGTATGTACCCGTGAGAGAGTTCAATGGACCATGGACAATGTCTTTTTCATAAGGACTTTGAGAAAACTTTACCTTCAGTAAGTTGTTAGGCTGGTTCTAATTAGTCCACTAACTAAGTTAGCAGATCATTGCTATGAAGAAGAGCTGCTGCACATCTCACTGGCATTTGGAAGCCTTCTGCTTTTCTTCCCAAAGCACCAGCCAGGGAAGGGGGTTCGCCCAGACTATCCCTCCCATCTGTTGGGGAATCAATGGGATCCCATACCACTGAACTCCAGCAGAACAACATAGCTACTTCTAGTTGTATAGTAGCAGCTGTAGTATGCAACTAGCATACAACTTTTATAAGGTTAGGGAAGGAAGAAAGCCTTCTACTCTCAGGCTTTGTTCTTATACATGTTTCACACAATGGAGAAATGGTTAGTGAAGATGACAGAAGTTGCTGAGATGGCAAAATGGACTTACTTGATTAGAAAAAAAGACAACTACATTTAGGAGTGACTGGAAACCCTTTTGGGAGTTTTTGCTGAAAATAGAAAAAATGAATTTGTGATTTATGGGTTTGATGATTAAAAAGGGTAGAATATGAAAAGAAGGGAGCCATAATACAACCTTATAGAGAGAGGATAAAATATGTGTTTATAACTGCTGTAAAGAAAATAGGAAGCCATTTCCTTATACCTCTTTACCTTTTTCTTTCTTTCTGTCTTTTTCTTTCATTTTTTCTATTATCACTTTACTTGCTTTTTTCTTAAATTTGTATTGTTTTTACTTTGTAAAAAACTTATTCAATAAAAATTAATTTAAAAAAACCCTCTTAGGCTTGTTCGCATAACACCAAACCATAGGTAAGTATTATGTCTGATCCAGATCACTGTTTCTGTGCAAAAGAAGCCTAAAATAAACAATAACATTATAATAGAAGAACACAGTCTTATAATGCCAGAAAATTAATGTGTGTGTGTGTATGTGAAACACATAGAGTATGCATGTATAAATGCTCATCATAACCTGTCCCCTCCATGTGTTGATAAAATTCTGGGGACCCTATGCAGACAAACATTACCAAAAATGTTCTCATGTTTAATTTTTAAAATTATTATAATTATTTATTATCTGTGTGTCATAGCTCAACATTGCAATTTGATAATATCCGTGTAAAACAGAGGATTAAATTGGAAAAAAAATATTTGCCATAAATTCTCATCTAATAAGCTTGAAATTAAAGGGGGATCCGGAATCTGACCTTTCAAGCTTAAATTCCACTTGCTCTTCATTGGGGCGTGTTGACTTTCTATGACAGCTTTTATGTACTGCACTTATCCTGAGATCAGATTGGTGAAATAGCTGTTTTACTGGGATACCTCGGCTGTTGCCATGTTCCACAGGCAACCAAATGTGAACCTATGTTTGTAAGTTTGGTTGCTAAGGGTCCCATGAAAAGATGGAGTGTCAGCATGATGGTAAGGATAAGCCTGGCATGGTTTTTAGTACTCCCAGCTTCCTCATGACACATTGAAAGAAATTCATGACATTTTCTTTTTTTTACTTAGGCAGCTATGAATAACTAGTGTGAAAGTTTATCTCATCTTTACTGTTTCTGAGTATTGTAATCTAGAACAAATTAATCATCTTTGCCAAGTATTTTGTGATTCATTGCTTATATTTGGTAAATCAATAAAAGAATTGTGGTATTATTAGCCTCCAATCCAGATGAGTTGTATAAACAGGACTTGCAGTTTATCTGTGATTTTATCATGTATTCCATTGATTGTTTCTTGCTTATTGGCCTCCATATTGACTATGCTAGTTAATGTTGTATGATAGGATCATAAAAGTAACAGATGGCCATAAACTTAGTGGTTGTGGTTGCCCAGTCAGTGCTTGCCTAGAGGACTGGTTCCTACCCAGTCCACAGCTCACAAATCCCTTGCAAATGAAATACAAATTGTTGGCAACTAAATCCTCTTTGTCTCTTTTTCGATGACACTTTCAGGATTTCGTCTTTCCATAGTTAATATACAATACCATAATTGTCCTTGAGGAAACTTGTTATTGTGAAATATTTCCATCCATGCAAATCATTCAAGGAACTATCTGTTCTGTACAAAATACTACAGTCAGGCAGACTGGATTTTCAGGTGGCCACTCTAGCAACTTTTATAATGCAGGAACCAAAGGATATGAGAAGCTTGTTATCTTAGTAATATGCTTAAATATTTTTAAGCTGCCTTTTAGGGCAAGCCTTCCCAAAGTAGTCTACAATAAAGGTGAAACTACAAAATATAATAATACAGTAATAAATATACAAATAATGATAACATTGTAATTGATAATTAAAATGAGACAGCATTAAGTCCACAGTGATCATAATGTAGTCCTAATTCAGTCACTGGCTCTGGTAAACAGTTGCGTCTTTAGGATTGACATGAAAGCCTATGTTGATGAAATGTGATAGACATCCATTCGAACAGAGTTCTACAACTAAGTGGCCAGTGAAAAAGAGGCTCCTAATTGCTCTTAGCAGTGGACGCACATATAAAACCTTTGATACTGATCTCAGTGTGAGCAGGTTGGTACAGATGAAGGCAGGCTTCAGAGTCACTTTGACAACCAGTATAATTAGTATAATATAGGTGTTTCATGACCTGACTTGCTATTAATTGGCAACGTGTCATTAAGATTCCAAATTGTGTTTAGAGGCAATCAAGTGTACAGGATGGAATTGAGCCTAGATGTGGTCAAACCATGAATAATTGAAGCAAAGTTCTTCCTTTTATGGCAGAATTAGAATTGATGTAACCCTCTAGATTGAAAAAAAAAATTGATCACTGTAGCCACTTTAGCTAATTAATTAGTTAAAAGTCTAATTCCCAGACTTAATAGGAGTACACCCTATTTGGGAATGGTTACAAGTCCTCTTTGAGGATAGTCTGTTTTCCTATACATAGGTATCTCTGATTTAAATGTTGCTCGTTCACCCTCATCTATCTCAGAGTCACTTCCAGATACTAGCTCAGTGTAGTCTACCAGGATGAATAGTTGGAAATGAAAGGTAAGGCTGAAAGTCATCCACATATTGATGAGACCTAATTATTAGGTCTGGATTTCTGGATTATTGTCCTTAGCTATCCATGCTAATATTAAAAATCCATAACCTTGTACTACCCCTCTGTCATAACAACCTAAATCAGGACTTCCCTAGCACTGGTTTCTGGAATGGGTTTTCCAGGAAGTTTTGAAACTGCCCAGACTTGCCGGGAGTTGGGCAGTATATAACTTTAATTATTATTGTTGGTCACACAGTCAGCCAGATGTTTAGACTGGATTTGGCATTTTTATCCACCTATTGAGATCGTTGCCAAGGACCTGGGATAGGCAGATGTTGTTGTTTGATGGTGTTAAAGGTTTTGTCGCAGGATATAAGCTGTTCCAAGTAAAGTTGCCTTTTGTGATTGACTGATGGTAATTTTGTCAATGTCGATGGCGTTCAAGTGGTGCTCTAGATGTTTTGGGATTGCCTATAACTATTGGTACTACCTTTGCTTTCTTTTGCCATAGTCATTCTACTTCTATTTGCAGGTCTTTATGTTTTGTGATTTTCTCCAGTTCTTTCTCTTTGATTCTGCTGTCTCCAGGTATTGCAACGTTCACTACCCAGACTTTTTTGTCTTTTTTGTCAACAATTGTTAAGTCTGGGGTGTTGTTATTAATAATAATATACTTATATAATATAATTGTATAATAATAATAATAATAATAATAATAATAATAATAATACCACCATGTTGATT